GCAGGGAACACACCGACCTGCAGGGAACACACCGACCTGCAGGGCACCACCGACCTGCAGGGAACACACCGACCTGCAGGGCACCCACCGACCTGCAGGGAACACACCGACCTGCAGGGCACCACCAACCTGCAGGGAACACACCGACCTGCAGGGCACTCACCCAACTTGCAGGGCACACACCGACCTGCAGGGAACACACTGACCTGCAACACGTCTTCAACTTCATATTGCATATGTGACCCACAGTAGAGAGAGAGCCCAGGCCAGCCCAGCAGATTCCTCCCCAGCTAACAGGACATAGAGATCCTTGGTGCCAGGTGTGGGGAGGTGGCTTCACACTCAGGTCACCATCACAAGCTTGTCCTAACCCTCAAAGACACAGCCACATCATCCCCATCCCAGCACCTTCACACATGCCCACCCCTCTGCCAGGGATGCCCTTCCTGTGGAATCCTGCGTGGTGGGCTCCTTCCCAGAGACACCTTCCCTGACCACTTCCCAAAGAACCCACATCAGCACCACCCTACCGCTCTTCCCTTACCTGGCTTGGTCTTCTGTATCCACTCATCAACCTCTGAAATGGAATCATTTATTCCTCTTCTTAGCTACAGGACTCAGCAATATGGCTTACCACTGAGTCCCAGCACCTAGCATAGGGCCCATACCTAGCAGGTGCTCAATTTATTGAAAGACTGTTAGCCAGGTGTGGTGTAACCCCAGCTACTTGGGAGGCTGAGGCAGGAGAATCCCTTGAACCCAGGAGTTGGAGGCTGCAGTGAGCCATGATTGCACCTGAGAATAGCCACTAAATTCCAGCCTTGGTAACAGAGTAAAATAAATTAATTAACTTAAAAAATAATGAAGGGAAATAGGAAAGAGGGCCAGAAAACACAAGGCATTTATTTTTAACATTGGATACTGGGTCCTCCAAGCACCTCGCGCTCTCGCTCTCCCCGCTCTCTCGCTCTCCCCGCCCCCTCACTCCTCTTCCTCCCTCTCTGTATTTCTGTCTCTTTCCTTTCTCCCTCTCTCTGTTTCTCCTCTGCTCTGTGTCTCTGGTGGTGAGGCCACCGCGATCTCAATACAATATACACGTGGTGATGCAGAGTGGAAATATCAACTGAGTCACGAGGGCCTCATTAAAGTCTCCCCTGACACCTGCTTCCAATGACTCACGCCTGCAAAGTAAGTTTTCCGACTAATTAGCACTACCTTCCCCAGCCCGGTGGGTGTCAGGCAATCGTGCACTGCCGTCATCTTTAATAATGCTTGAGATTTACGGAATGACCTTTTATTCCCCTCGAAAGGGGCTATGAGAGGCAGGAGGCCACTGGAAATGCTAAACACACAGAAATATGGCACCGAAAGAAGTATAAAATGGAGCCCTTTAAAATTCAGGGGAGCGGAAAGTAAAGCCACGTGGGGTGGGGGAAGGATCCCTGAATGGAACAGCACTGGGAGGAAAGAGAAACAGAGGCTAGGGTAGTGCAGGGAAGCCGGGGTCCCTGCCTGGTCAAGGTTTCTGGCATCATCTTGCAGGTTCTGACCTGTCGTGGTGGCCAACGCAGAGGCACAGACTTGGGCACCTCTGAAGACCTCACTGAGAGAGGGACAAAGTCCTCCCGACCCTGACCCTCTTGCCTGGAGAGGGGCTTCAGGGCTCTTGGCCCTAATTCTGAAGCTGGGGGGCTTCTGGACACCTAACAAGCTGCTTCCAGGGCTACGAGGCTGAGATCATGACTTGTGTACCTCTTTTTCACAGTGGTACTTATTTTTCCCATGGAATCTGATGCAGAAAGCCCAGCTACAAATCAGATGGAGTAAGAGCTGTTCTGAGCAGTGTGGGGACACAATTCCTTATGGGAAGTCCCTAATGGGATTCCCTTCTGACCCTGGTACAGACAACTAATTCCATACACGCAGGGGACCGTCATTCCTCTGGGGGAAACAGCAAAACAGACCTTTCTAAATATGTTTTATTTTGAAGATCATATGATTTACCCCCGTCTCCGATTAGCTCAGTGCCTCTCTGGGACTCACAATTGGGGTCGGAAAGGCTGATTTAACCCTACAGATTCTCAAGCTGGGCACGGTGGCTCGCGCCTGTAATCCCAGCACTTTGGGACACCGAGGCGGGCAGATCATGAGGTCAAGAGATCGAGACCTTACTGGCTAATATGGTGAAACCTTGTCTCTACTAAAAATACAAAAATTAGCTGGGTGTGGTGGCATGCACCTGTAGTCCCAGCTACTCGGGAAGCTGAGGCAGGAGAATCACATGAACCCAGGTGGCAGAGGTTGCGGTAAGCTGGGATCACGCCACTGCACTCCAGCCTGGTGACAGAGCAAGACTCCATCTCAGGAAAAAAAAAACAACAGATTCTCAGATCCCCCCTCTGAGCAGGCTAGGGATAATGAGGCGCTTGCCTTTGGCCCAAAATTCAAGGGAAAGCCCAAGAAATCAGTAATTGAGATCAATTATACTTTAATGTAATATTTTTAAAAATCAAAATTACCGCCAAAACATTCACAATGCATAACATTTCAAAACTGCCCAGGATCTGTCTTTGCACTCACCTTTGTTCTGGTCTTGTCCTGACCCCCCTGGTCGGGCTTGATAGGTGTCCAGAAGCCTCCCAGCTTCGGAACTAGGGTGTGTCCTGGTGAGACAGCTCCAACCAGCCAGCCTCCAAAGCAGCGCAGGTGGGAGTCTTTGGCACTGAATCCCACAGCTGCGTTCCATCCCGCTGATGGGAGTCAGGGTGGGTACCGGTGACACCTTTTCCGGCAGCAGGCATTGGAGACTGGGCCCTTGCCTTTGTGGGGTCCACACAGGGGTGGCAAGAGAGAGACGGTGAACATGTGGCCAGAAGAAAACCATTTCTGATGTTGGTGAACACAAGGCTGACCTGGCAAAGAGTAACCAGGTGGGGCACAGCCACTTCAGATGGTGTGATCAGGGAAGGACCTGCCGAGGAGGGGGCATTTACATGGAGACCTGGAGGAGAGGGAGAGGCAGCAGTCCAGGCCGAGGAGCCAGCCAGTGCACGGGCCCAGAGGTGGAGAAGACTGGGACACTCCACCAGCCGTCCAGGGAACACGAGGCCAGAGACACAGCCCCCTGCTGGGATGGGCCTAGAGAAGTCTCAGGTGCATTTCCAGAGTCCCCACTGTGTGCCAGGCTCTGTCACAGCAGCAGGGACAAAACTGGACTCAGTCCCTGCCCTGGCGTTGCTGGTAATTTGGTGAAGGGAGAAAACCGAGTGAATAAAATATTTCCGCACATGTGGGATGACAGAGGGATGAGGCCGCAGAAGCCTAGAAAGACACCAGCCAAAGAAAGCAGGATTTTCGCCCAGATTACCATTTGCTAAAATGGCCTCACATCTGTTTTCATGCTGAAAAAAGAAGTCGGATTCCCACTAATACTTATCTCTCGCTCTCTTCCCTCACCCGCTCCCTCTCCAGTCCCGTTAGCCTATATCCAGAATCCCACCGCTTTCCTCCTCCTCCCGTCCTCTCCCTCCTGGATGGTGGCAGGAGTGCCTCCTGGTCTCCTTGCTCCCCTGCCTCTCCCCAACGGCAGCAGGAGGACCCTGTTAGGTCCCAAGTCCAATCACACCCCACGTCTGCTGAGCGTCCCACCCCTGCGCCTCCCCAACCCCAACCCTGACGGTCCATCTTGCTCACAGTCCAAGCCAGGGGTCTCTCTCAGCCCCGGCCCCTGAATGGGTC